GCGCTCTCACAATAAATATTTGGTTTCCCATAAATACGTCATTTGGTTTCCCATTGTACATTTGGATTTGGTGAGAAATTTTGAAATTGCACCATTGCAGAACTGACGAATTTGACGTGTTTGACGTGGATGTTTTCATCGTAGAACTCAAGAAATTCGAGAAATGAAATCATACCGTTTTTCGGCTGAAGTGACTCGCATATATTCATCAATTCGATGACGAATGCGTTCTTCAACTGCAATGAGCGCTTTTCCTCTGTGATCACTCGTGTGCAATTTGCAATATTTAAGAGTTGGTTGCATTCAATTTCGTCTTCCTAAAAGACGATCGATCTTCGTCATCCGCTGCAATTTATTCAGAACAAAAAAATGTGTTTCATTGCATCTTCTCGCACTTTATCTCACTTGTTTTTGGGTTTTTTCTTGTACACTCCGAAATTCAATTAACGCCGAGGAATTCGTATCCAACTGAGACTGAGCGCAATATTTCATAGAAGGATAAATAAATGTGGCTGGAAATTGCAATTATTTTTTCTTAACAGCTCATTACCATTCGTTCAGTTCGGTTCCGTGCTTCTTCGAATGCAAAATGCAGATGATAACGTCGAGCTTGGCCCAGTCATTTCGGCAAGTGATAATGCTTAAATGATCAACAAAGCAATCTATTTCGTGCTAGTCCGTACAACCGAGCAGATGAATGTCAAAAAATCGCTGAGCGAGTCGATAATGAGAGCTAAATGAACATTGAAAATTGAAGATGCTGAAGTATTGTGAAGGCTCATCCATCACAAACAATCTATTGGTGAATTTCGCTGTTGTTCACTCAGCTATACGAAAGACTACTCGGAGGTAGATAAGCCTAATATTATTCAGTGCATTTCCGAGTTTTTCAGACGTTCTCGTGACCTAATAAAATGAATGAATCGATAATATCACACTGATATTAAACAACTTAAACCCTAAGCAACCAACCAAACTAATGCGCTGACACTGGCAAAGCAATGTGCTAATAATGCAAGTTAGATGAATAATCTTTTGGTAGATGCTACAGCCGTTTTGCAGCTCGAGGATAACAGTTAATATACCACACTATATTATTGTTGTTGTTGTTGTTATGATTGTTGTTATTGCTGGCTGGCTTCTTCCCTTTACCGCATCACTAATGAGTCCATCCAATTCGCTATAGCCACCACGCTAAATCCGTTGATCTCAGTGCATCCTCTTGCACCGTCTCGTACTACTCCATCTCTACTCTCTTGATCTAGAATGTCGTCTGTCTTTCCCCGTTCAGTACACATCACTTCACCGATTGATATATCCAATTTATTCGATTCATCTGATTCATCCAATCCCTCCCATCGCGTCACCTCGACACTTTTGACTACTGCCCACCAGTAGTGCTTCATTCTCGTACTTCTCGACTCCGGTCAGATTTCGCGATCATTCATCTGTCACGTTTTAACGAGATCCTGTCCAGTTATTATTGCTCATTTCCACATTCATTCAATTCATAACATTTTGATCACCTGATCAAATTCACATTTTTCGTTCATACCAGTTCAACCGTGTTGATCATGGCTAACGAGAATATTTTAGAATTCCGGTGATTTACAAACAATTTGTTGGATTCGTTTAATCTGAGGGCATTATCCTATTTTCAAATCGCCTGGAAACAAAAAAAAAACGCTATTGGGTTTCTAATTACCCCTTATTCATTTTCGATGATGGAAGCGTTTATCAATTCAGGTTCACTCATAGATGGACGTGATAATAATTATAGTTCCATGAATGACCACATGAAAACGATGACTGATTGTCTTGTTACTTTGGCCCATATTCCAGCTAGGCAATTAGCATTGCTTGAAACTGACCATGCTTTCAGATATAAGCTGATAATTCGGTTTCAAACATCCTTGCGATTGTAGCTTAGCTGTTCAAGTAATGCGATATGACGAAAACACAGAAATACATAAACTGTGAATCGAGTATGCTCATTATTCATTAGTTTTACATTGCCATCAATGAGTGATATTATATTC